AGTCCTCCTGCCTTAGCTCTTGAGTGCCTAGATGATAGATGTGCTCACCATCCCTGGCTCAAATTACACTGTTAAGTCCTTCTGCCACATACTGCTGTTTGTCTTTTCTAGTTATTTTTCTTCATGTTTTATTCCCTTTGTTTTGCATTCTAATATTTTGAATTTTCTCTTACAACAGTTATCAAATTATCTAAGGACATACTTTCTGTTTCTTCTAGTTTCTTTCCCTTTCTAATCCTAAATTATCAAGTTCTCAGTTAACTGAGATAATTTGAAATGCTTAGTACAATTTCTGATACTTGATGAGTAGTACTCTCCTTTTCCTGCAACTTTGTACCATTCACAGAATAGGTTTCATGTGTTTGTGAAATAGCTGTGGCCCACAGGAATCCTAATTATTCTGTCTTTCAGCTGCCATTTTTTATGTAATTCACTGTGTATGATATTTCTAAATGTCCTAAGCTAAAGCTAGTATTAGTAGCTACATGTTAGCTGGAAGGTATAAATTTTGATTTTTTTGTGGAACCAGGGATTGAACTCAGGCTCTTGTGCTTGCCAGGCAAGCGCTTTTTCTATTGAGCTATCACCCCAGTCCTGGAAGATATAAATTTTAATGTAAGATTAGTGGTTATTTTCATTTTGGACTTATTATTAAAAATTAGATGACTAGGGGCTGGGGAGAAAGCTTTGCAGTCTAAGTGCCTGCTTGGCAAGTGCAAAGACCCAAGTTCAATCCCTGGTACCGCATGCAATGCTGGCCCCAAGCCTGGGTGTGATGACGCACACCTGTAATCCCGGTGCCTCGGAGGCTGAGACAGGAGTATCACTATGAGTCTGAACTGCATAGCAAGACCCTGTATCAAATAAATAGGTAAATAAATAAATAAATAAGATGACTAGAAGATTTATTCTGTAAATTTTTGCTGCATCTTTCCTTCCAGGAGTTCACAGGGAAGGAAGCAAGGACCTCAGTGTCACTGCAGAATTACCATGCTTTCTTCCGGGAGCTGGATGTTGAGATCTTCTCTATTCTGCACTGTGGACTTGTGACCAAGGTCATCTTAGATACTGAAATGCACACGGAAGTGAGTGACACATTGGGATCTTGGAACTTCATCTGCTTTCAGGAAATTCCTCAGCTGTTCTTATTTAAAAAACAACACTTGTAACATTGAGAAAAATTAAAGGATTGGTATAGCTCAGTGATTCCCCAGTACTGCAAGAGGAGGAAGGGAGGAAAGGAAGGAAGGAATTTAGACTTCAAAGCTTTTACAGATGAGACTAATGATGAGTGGTCATCCATATTACCTGGATGTTTATAAGCCACAAATTTTGAACAATGTTAGAAATT